TAACTACTGTAAATATATCAAAACTTAATTTTTGATTAGTAATATGCATTGCTAAGGACTTCATTGGATAAATTTAAAGGCAATTTTCTCAATATTTAGATTTTTTTGCACCCTCACATTCCAGATATTCATATAAATGTATCTCGACCAAATATTGTCCTATCCTAACAAGCCATACATCAATAGAAAGCTTATTTATTCAGCTTTCTCAATTTTGAAAATTTGACACTTAAGAGGTCCACTTTGTGGTCCAGGGTCACATATTTTCTACTATCTCGAACCATTTTGCACCCACTCTCAATCATTACAATCAAACAGGTCACTTGTGAATAATGACAGTCACTTACAGGCTGCAGGTTTGCTGTCAGCCCAATATACAGTAGTTATTATCTGCTTCATTCTTTAATAGCAGACTTTTTGTAAAGTTGCTTTAAATTGTGAAAGTTTTTATATATACTGTATATATATATATATATATATATATATACACTAGTCATATATTTGAATGTTGAGCAGCGAGCTCATTGGCTACCGATACAGGAGAGAACCAATCAGCTATGCCATGTGATAATGATGTCATTAGGTCAGATTGAGTTAGACCTATCGGACTGCGCCATCTAGAGTTTCATGCCAGAACTCTGTATATATACAGTATATGTATGTGTGTGTGTGTGTGTGTGGACGTATAGATGGATAAACATATGGACAGACAGGATATCAATAACATTTTCATGAGAATGTGGTAGCAGCCTAATTATGAACATCTAACATAAATGTTGTTCATAAAGTTCATATCTTGTTCTGTCCATATTCTGAGCTTAGTACTTACTACAGTATAATATAAAAACATCTGCTATAAGAAATGTAATGAAAATTGCCTGAAATTGCATGTTTTCTTCAAAAACAATACACATACACTAATCCATAACATTTTAACATACAACTTACTTTTAAAGCCATTGACTGCAACTCTGCTTGGATGATAAAAGCCGCTTTTGCAGTGACATTTATACTTGTCCAGCACAAATCCATGGCCTGGGATGGGCAAACACTGTGGAAAAAAAGAGAGAGGATGGAAATATCAAAACTGTACCTTCAGGAGGCAAGAAAATATACCTGGGAAAAAGAGTTTCAAGAAGTAAAGAAAAAAAAACACATTTATGCAGCATGTTTGTATATGATTCAATATAGAGGTTAAAGGTTCGATTCAGTAAAGAATAACTCAATGTTACTTGCGGGTTCTTTGTAATCATTTGTGAAATTTACTAGCAATTTCTAAGTGAAAAGAGTTTCAAATGTAAATCCTACATCATTCATTCATTTTCAGTGTATATATTTATTTGTAGATGATTTGTAGATGATTATTGATTTTTTTTTTATGCCAAAAATCATTAGGATATTAAGTACGTTTTATTACAGATGCACACACTTTAATTCACGTCTTCTGAACTGTTGACAACCAACACCCGCTTACCCCCATTGAAAGGCTTGGAGGGGCCAGGACAATTTTTAATATAACTCCGATTGGATTTGTCTGAAAGAAGAATGTCACATACACCTAGGATGCTTTGAGGGTGAGTAACACAGGCTAATTTTCATTTTTGGGTGAACTAACCCTTTAAACATAAGGGGTGTGGTCTTGTAGTGCTCCAATAAGATTAGAGGCAAATTACATCATGTATGCTAAGTGCTCAAAAACTTTGTTGTGCATGTCTGAGAAGGTAGAGTAAAATATTTATACAAGATATTGCATCTAAACTGCACAGCGGTTCAACACTGAAACTCTGGAATTTAAAATATAATTTAAACTAGAAAGCACTGAATAAAGGAATAAAGAAGCCAACTGAATAAAGAAGCCAATAAAGCAAAAGAGACACATCAAATGCTAAAGCATTTGGAAATTCATAATTTTCAGACAAGTTGTTATGGTAATAATATAATTTGTAGTAAAACACTTTATTACATTACAAAAAAATGAAAATTAAAAGACTATATATATAAGCCTTCAGATGGTGTATACATTTCAAATTGACCTTTATGACTGGTTTTGTGGTCCAGGATCACAGTACCTATAGCAAGATGAGATATTGCAGTACTAAATATAGTACATACTAGTGATATTACTAAAACATACTTTTATCGCAAAGTTCCAAACCAAATCTAGCGTGTACTAACAATATGCAATATTGCTGTCAGTAATAATATAATACTAGCTATATTCACACTAGAAAATACTTTTTTAATGGTTAAAAAAGTTTCAAACCAAATATAGTACCTAGAATTATGTAATATTGCTATCGGTAATAAAAAAGTAACTACAAGAGATATTCATACTACAGCATACTTTTTCAACAAAGTAAGTTTCAAACCAAATATAGTACCTACTGGCGACATGCAATTTCAGACGTACAGTAGCTACAGTGTTTTTTTTCAGTTAATATGCTTTTGTAGCTGCCTCTGCAAGCAGTACACAGCAAGACAGCTCATTGGTTTGGAACAGAGCGAAAATTCAGAGCTATATAGCTTGTACTTTATTGCTTAATTATAGGATCTACACAGCTTCTTCTCTGTCAATAAAGACAAAGGACTAACTTTCTACTAATAGCAAAGAGCCACTAGGGAGGCTGGGCTGCCGACTCTAGAGCTGCAAGCTGTTCAGCAGGTTTAACAGGGGAAGTCGTGGCCTAATGGTTAGAGAGTCGGACTCGTAACCCAAAGGTTGCGGGTTCGAGTCTCGTACCGGCAGGGATTGTAGGTGGGGGGAGTGAATGTATAGCGCTCTCTCCACCTTCAATACCACGACTGAGGTGCCATTGAGCAAGGCACCGAACCCCCAACTGCTCCCCGGGTGTGTGTTCACTGCTGTGTGTGTGCACTTTGGATGGGTTAAATGCAGAGCACTAATTCCAAGTATGGGTCACCATACTTGGCCACATGTCACGTCACTTAATATAAGAGCGGTATGAGTTTGACTGAACTGATTTAAACAGTCCTCTGATATATAATATTCAAACAAGGACAGTTTTGGCACAGATTTCCTCGCGTGTGCCAAGACATAATTAATATCTGAATTAAAGACAGACTCATTTGCTGAATTCAAAAAGAAAAGTAATTCAGTATCTAGAGGTTTCCTTCATGAAACAATAGATCAAAAGCGGGAGTGTGTAATCATAATGCTCAGTATTTCAGGCCTGAGTGTTTCGTGACTGCAGTCCAGGGCCCAAAGCAGACATGTTGACCCCAGCTCAATACCGATCCACTACAGCACACACTTGAAGGGCCAAAGCCTTCATATTTGAGCAGAACAGCAGCGACATCAGCCTTAATGAAGCACGGAATGGTAGAACACTTACACAAATCCATCTTTAGAGAGAAGAGGGCTCTATTTCTGTCTTTCATGCTTCTATAGGATCAGGGTTTGAAGACAGATAGCCACAGGAGAATGGCCAGAGAGCATTATGAGCTCACAGCTAAATTATAAATATATAAATTGCAAGTCATTTTCAGCAGCATGTTTTGAAAAGGCTATATTGGCAGTAACAGTAAAATATTGCTGGCACACTGTAGCATAAAAGAGTGTTTTAATGACCTAAGTACACTCAGTATGCAGTAAACAGAAGGGGGTTATCTGGAGTGAGAAATTATCTGGAGTGAGAAGTTTGTTGATGATGCACAGTGAGAGTTATTTTGTTTAAAATCTAATTTTATTTCTGGTTCTGTTTGCACCTGTAATTAGCAATGCGTGTTGTTAGAAAAAAATATAAGTTACTTAATACTTTACCAAAATACACAACTGTTCAAAAGTTTAGGGTTGGTAAGGTATGTATATATATATATATATATATACACATATACACA